AGAAGCTAATGTATATCCATCAGGAGAGAAACAGACTGACCAAACAGTATCACTATGACCATCCAACTTATTCAATTCATGGACTTTTATGTTCTTCCATTTACAATTAAATAATTTAGCACCATTCAAATTCAATCCACTGATTTCAACATTTTCAAACTCTGATTCACTCAAGTTGCATCTTACAAAATTACCTCCAATTAAAGAAGTATTTATAATTCTGATATTCTCAAAGGATTGGTACCTTATATCTACCTTTATGGCCACTAATAAACTAAGTCCATTTGATCCACATTGAATAAATTTTTCATCTATGCTTGTTAGTCGTACTAAAAATTTGATGAAATATGTTATCCCTTTGTTATCCTTTATTCTCTTGATCAGATCCGCTCTTTCCTTTTCAAATGTTTCTTGAGAATAGTCATCTTTATAAAATTTATGATCATAAATATTCTCCAAGACATTTGTTATTTTCTTTACTTACTTCTTGATCACCATGATATTCTCTTACTTGTAGTTTAAAGATTCAAAAAACTGTTGATTGTTTGTCTTCGACAGGAATCCAATAATGTCTGTAACTTTCTCTTTTCTCACTATATCAAGAATCTTCTAATAGAGAGATTCATCTATATCCTGGATGTAGGTTAGCATCTCATAAAGATCTTCCTTCATTTAATAAACTTCTTCTTCATCCTCCCTAGAGATAGTATATATAATACTTACTTAATTAATGATTGGATCTATTGGATTCCTTAGTTAGACTACTCAATAAAAGCCTTTATATGTTGGTCCCACCAGCTCTTGGTCTTATCTAACTCCTTCATATAAGAATTCTTCTCAGCATTCCAATCATTTAAAGTCGATCCTTCTACAACGTTTACTAATTTTTCTAAATCTGTGTAAGAGGATTCAGCTAGATTAGTATTTTCGTTAATGAGGTTTAAGTATGATTAGTTTTCCTTCTCAATCAAATCGTCTACTTATTTGATAGATTGTGACAATTCTTCCCAAATTTTCTTCATCATTTATTCCATCATTTATTCGGTTTGAGTGAGCAAGGCTTTAAAGGCCATTCTTTAGTTAGTTAGTTCAGATATATCATTAAGCTTTGAGTCTTTTAATTTATTGATAGCCTTTTCTTAATATATTTCAATTGGAATGGTATATTTCAAATCCACTCCATGTTCATATTGGCATTTTACACAAAGTTTCCTTTAGCATTAGCACTTGTGAGGAGCCACACATATCAAAGTGATCGGATTTTTAAAATGATGAGTGCAATTTATCATCTTATATTTTTAATATTGAATTTCTATTACTCTAACTTTAAGTTATATACTGAAAAATCGCTAAAAGTATCTTGTGCATTTTTGTTCAATAGAAGATAGGATTTTGTTTAGATTTTGAATTGATTGTTATCGATGTCAATGATGCTATCGGGAATTCATTCTAACATCTGCAATACTTGATTTTTTTATAATATAGAATAATGTTATTTTCTATGAATATTTTCATTTATT